CGTGAGTGAGCGAGTGTGTGTGTGCACACAGACTCGTGAGTGAGCGACACTGACTCAGAGCCGTCCTCTTCTCTCCCCACAGCTCTCCTCTACAAGCCCATTGACCGTGTGACCAGAAGCACCCTGGTTCTTCATGTGAGTACAGTCCCATGACTTTAAAGGATCATTTCACCTGAATTTTTTAAATTTACTATTTGAGACCAAAGGGCAAAAATGATTTAATATAACACCAAAAAAGCAAAGTGAGAAAATATGGTTAGTGGGTTTTTTTTGTAATGGTTTTCCCTTTAACTGCCCTTCTCTCACACACACACACACACACTCTCAAAGCAGAATAAACCGTTTGTACTAAAAAGATTTAGCTGTTGTCATAGACTCTACATTCCTCACAGCAAATCCAACCGTGAGAGTAAAAATATAATATAATACCTTAATTTATGTTTAGCAATTCCGCACAGAGCTGAAAAACAGAGCCTGCTTTGTGTTGTTCATCGCAGCCTGAATAAGCCTACCTCTCTGGATGAGTAATATTAAGGTGGTAACTGTCAATCAAGCGAGCAGAGAGACACCTGGATGTGTCTAGTTACCTCACAGGAGTTTATTGCGTGGACTACGTTTGCATAAAGCTGTCAGAGCAACAACATGACCGTCCAGGACTGCTGCGTGTGTTTCTACAAAGGTCACGTTCCTGCCATTCATGCAAACGAAGAGGTGTTGTTCGGCTCTCCCGCTCATCGCCCGGCTATACTGATGAGAGCAGCTTCAATAACTCCAAGGAAATGAGATTTTCAGAGATGTCTTCAGTATTCAATAAGAAACCACAATTATGTTTTTAATTAAGAAAGAAAACATGCAATCAGGACTTCTGCTCATGCTTGGATTTTGTTAGGAGGTGAAAATGGATTTCTAACGCTATACAGGATAAGACGTTTTTACGTCACTGCACCAATCATTATTTCTGTGATTTCACAGTTTTTATGTATCGTAGCACAAACAGCTTCTTTGTGTGTCTGTGTAACCGTGCGTGTTTGTGCACGTGTTGCAGGACTTGCTGAAACACACTCCTAAGGACCACCCGGACTTCCCGCTGCTGCAGGACGCTCTGCGGATATCTCAGAACTTCCTCTCCTCCATCAACGAGGAGATCGACCCTCGCAGGACTGCCGTCACCACGCCCAAGGGAGAGGTGTGTGTGTGTGATTATTTGTCATTTGAATATCTCAGTATGAATGAGACAAGAGCCTGATGTATGAATTGACTTTGAAGTTGGATGCTGTGTCATTTGGTGCTAGGAGAGCGTGACCCTGGATGGAGGAGAAATCTCTGCATGTAGTGATAATATTCTATATGCCTCGTGTGACTGAGATGTATTCAAATCAGTTCATGTCGTCCTGTCTCTTCTTTTCCTGAAGTTTTATGTTGCATATTTAGTCACATTCTTAGACTGTATAAAACCCATACTAAATTAAATTCAGGCTTATATATAGAACACATTTCATACAATTAGAAGAACTTCACAAAATAACTAAATATAACTTTTTGAGGCAAAAACAGCAAAAGTTTATTAGAAAGTTTGAATATTAGGTGCCCTGTTGTCAACAAAGAAAAGTTTACATTCTGTGTTTCTCACCAAAATGCATCGTGTATTTTCGATTTACCGATGAACCGATTTCGCTGGTAGGTCTGGTAAACCCACTTCGTCCTAACTCCACACCCCCTGATTGTTTTTCATTCTAATCTCGTCGGCAGTTCATCAGACTTCACACCGCTCACAAATGCAGTTGTAATCCCTATTGATGGACTTCCTCGTTGAGGTCTAACAAACAACTAACACATCAGAGCAATATGCAACCGTCAGGCCTTTAATAAACACTTCCGTACATTTGCAAAGTGACTGTAGAGCTGATCGGGAGCCAGTGTAGTCGGTATGCGGAAAACCCGGTGGCAGGATTTCGCTGAAGTTCGAGGACCCACCCCCCCCACCCCCCCGGAATTTTGCAATTGAGGCTTTTACGGGGTCTCAAGTGTCAGTCAAGGGGTCTCAAACCCCCCTGTATCTCCCATGCAGCCATAATTTGAACACGATAGCAGTTAAAATCCAGATGGATACACAAAATGTGTTTTTTCTCTCAACCGTTACCAGAACTCAGCATTGTTTGACCAGCGTCATGTTAAGCTCATCAGCTTTGTGTACACATCGGTCCGACAACAACAAGTGACATGCGGTGTTCCTCTAGGCTCGTCAGCTGGTGAAGGATGGCTTCCTGGTGGAAGTGTCGGAAAGCTCCAGGAAGCTTCGGCACGTCTTCCTCTTCACCGACCTGCTGCTCTGTGCCAAGATGAAGAAGACGGCTGTGGGGTGAGTCCACTTTACCTTTTTTCCCTCTCCATCCGGAGAGGATCATAGCCGTGTTTTTATTTAGCACAGAGCCATTTGAGTATCCACCCTCTTAGGATTACCCTCTCTATGCTTCCATCTGTGTGTCATTCATTCTGCCTTCCACGTCAACATGAAGCCCCCCCGGCAGTGACACACAAAGGATGACACCGGCGCTTTACAGAATATATCCCGTGTCTATTTGTGTTCCTGGAGGGAACAAGAGGACTTTCTGAAGCCACACTAACAAAGAGAGAGGCTAGCAGGCGTTTTTTGCCTCTGGCATTGTGAAAGAGTGGAGGAGACTAGCAGATGAACACGGAGAACAGAGCGAGGACGAAGGTGTTACTCTGTTAGGCCTGGAGGCAAAGTGAAGAGAGGTGACGGAAACACAGCCGTCCTGTTTTCATGTGTGGCTTGACACACGATGTGGCACGCGTCCACAGATTAAGCGCCCCACATTTACGGGATTGCGTGACATTCGCCCCGTCAGCGCGGCGGAAGCTGTTACCCTGATTGGATCTTATTTTGGTTGACATTCACCGTTTGTCTGTCATCCGCGGGCTCCCCTCACTTGGAAGGAACGCACAGCATTGCCATAACTACCAGACTTGTAAATTGGACTGTTATGGTCTGGAGCATCTCTGTGTGCCGCCTACAGGACACACACACACACACACACACACACTCTCTCTCTCTCTCTCTCTTAAAGCAGCGGATCCATCCAGAAAACTCGGTCACCTTGGGTGAAGTCCCTGAGGATCCGTAGTCATATTTACATGTATACTCTGTTCCTGAATACATATTTCATAATTTTCTTTGTCTATAAATATTGAAATGTTATTGTTACTTAAGGGTTAGTAGATTGGATATAAGGATGTCTTCATACTCTATTCAATTATGCATTTAACTGAGCTCCACCCTTCTGTTTACGGCTGTGTTTAAGTGCACGAGATGAATGGATGGTCTGTAAAACAAAGAGATGTCAAAGACGAGAGAGACACTCAAAAACACCTGCGTTCCTCTAATTGTCCTCCAACGCCATGTCCATCAGAAATGTACAATATTCTATTTTAGATAAAAGTTGTTGCGAAATGAAGATTTTAGTCGTCACACGTGAGAATTTTCGTCAAGTGTGGATGCTCATTAATCGGCTGCTCAAATTGGCCTTCTGATGAAGGTGTCGCAGCGGTAATGAGTTGACTACGCAGCACCCAGTAACGCTAATGACGGTCTCATTAGTGACAATGCAGATTGATCTTCTCTCTGCCCCGCTGGAAGTGGAAGCACTTGCTGAGGGTTTCATTAATCTAGCATCACGACTGAACATAGTGCTTTTGAATTTAAAAAGAGGATGCCCTTAAATTGTAGTTCTCTCAATCGGCCAATTATTGTCATTGTAAGGATGTTTTTCTCTTCTTCCTCTTCAGCTTTTTCTTTTAGACCCCTGTGAATGTTTAACTTTTTCATCGTGATGATGATAGTGTCTATTCATTACAGTAATGTCTTTACACCACAGCACAGTGACAAATTCAATCATACTCGACTCTTGCTAGTAATGCTTTGTTAAAATTAGCCAGAGATTATGATGTCTAGTTAGCGGCCATCTGGACAGAATTTTCTATTAATTTGTAGACGTTGTATTTTTTCACTGCCTTTGTTCTGTTGATCTTTACAGCTTTTGGTCTCCTCCACTGATTTGTTGATTTATTGTGTGTCATATATTTCCTGTATTCCCCCACCCGTCCATCCTTCCCTCTCTGTCCATCTGCAGCCGCCATCAGCAGTACGAGTGCAAGTGGTACCTCCCTCTGGCGGACTTGACTTTCCAGACCCTGGACGACTCCGACTCCTGCCCCAGTATCCAGGTCCTCCCCGAGCACGAGATCGAGGAGATGAAGATCAAGATCTCAGTCTTAAAGAGTGAGATACAGAAAGAGAAGGTAGTCCTGTTGTTCGTTTATTTGTTTCAACATCTCGTGGCGGGACCTTCCAGGGGTTCCTTAAAATGAGTCATTAGCTGGGTTCCTGTTGTTCAAAGACACACAAACGCATACAAGTGACTCAGGAGGGAAGTTGTGACTAATGAGTTCTGTGAAACTTTGATAGCCATCTATTTATTTATCGTGGCATACGCAGACTTTCATGGAAGACTCAGTGATTCCTTACTGGAAACACTGCACCTTCCTTTTAACTCGGTAGTTGACGCCCACACCTTTGTTTGTCTTAGACGAGGTCAAGGTAAGGTCCAATGTTCCATGTGGGGAAACTCTTGAGCGTGCATGCAATAGTAGTGACATCCAGAAATAAGTATAAAACAGAATTACCTTCTTCTACGTCTTTCTGTTCCTATCAGTACGGAAACCATAGAAGTAGAATGAGACTAGAACGCACATTGAACTGTTTGCCGTGGTCGTTCGAATAGTTCAGAAGGAAATGGCGCTCAGCACTCAGCATTGACCGTAGAAATAGAACGGGCCAGCCCGCTACAGCAGGTCACTTTGCGATGGCCGCATCTCAGGCCAACCTGCTATGTTGATTTGATAGAAAATGTTCTATTTCTATGGCTGAAACATTCGGTCAATGGCAAAAAGAAGATGCTATATAATCCTCCAACATTTCCAAGTCCTTGGCTGAGACTCACTGAAGTTCCTGTTATTCCCCTCTCACAGCGCTAAACTCGCCCACTCAGCGAGTGACCACGGAAGGTATGTAGAGTCAGAGGAGCAGCTGATTGTATCCAGGCTCTGACTCACAGCTTCCTGGTGAGGGCAGGGAGGATGTGTGTGTTTGTTTTCCTTTAATACTCACTAGAAGCCGAGATCCTTGAATTATATAAAAGGACTCTCGCAGCACGGCGTTGTTTTCTTTGGAAAAATAGGAAATATGTCAAACTGATACCATGCTGTTAAGAGTAATGACACATTAGTCATAAAACGTTTAGTTCTAACTTAAATAGGTCATAATTATATGGTGTGTAAATGAGGCATAAAAACAATACCTACACTACAGGTGCATCTCAGAATGTACTCGTGTTTTGTATTCAGTGTACTACTCCATCATATTGACTTTAAGTTGTTCCTGTTGGATAAAAGCTTAAAGTTTCATTTAATTTCATCCAGCATCCAACAATCCACAGTCGTGGATGCACCAATATTCAATTCGATCTACAATCCCATTTCGGTCTCCTATTGTGATTCAAGATAACGGAGAGTGGAGAAAAAGTAACATGCATACAGATGTTGATAAACCTCAGGAGACAAACACTGAACTCAAAGTGACAAAATCGTGTAAAGTGGAGTTTAATATCAAAGTGTAAATAGCTTAATTTACTGCTCTAAGAAAACAGTTGCTATTCCACAAATCATAACTAATGTTTCATTCTGTATGTTTATGGCAAAACGAAACCAATTATTCTCAATCTATAGATTATCTTTTCTTTTTTGTTTTTACCAACAGTCAAATAAACTCATTTGGGGGATGTAAACAGGAAGTGCATTGCTGCCATGCTGCGATCAGTTAGTTAGCTGTGGTGCCACACCCTAAGCCTGTTTCTTTAAGCCTATATTTGTTGTCAAATTGGCACCATTAAAAGTATGAATTATCCTCTAGCTCTAGCAGTTCCTGTTGCAGCGAACCCATGAATGTACAGACAGAGGAAAACTTAAGACGTAATGATTCTCATGCAGGTTCTGGACTTATATGGAGCGTGTTATTATCTATGATTTCTAAGTGGATTTGTGGATGTTTATTAGTGACGGACATTGTGGAGTTCACAGTGCACACTGAATCTAAAAATATGTGTATCATCATGTTTGGTGTTGAGAGTTGAGTTATGACAGAGTTGGACTCATTCACCTCGCGCAGTATCTTTACCTCACAACTCTCGGGCTGCATAGCAATGTTAAGTATTTGACTTGATGAATGTTCCTCCCTCTCAACCTTGGTATCAGTTCCATACGTCTGTTTGTTTGTTTTGTGTTTAGAAAGCACCGAAGGGTCAGAGTCGCGTGGAGCGCCTGAGAAAGAAGATGAACGAACAGGAGTCGTGGCTGCTCCTGAACTCTCCCACCATCCCCTTCCGCATCCACAACAGACATGGAAAGGTAACTCGTTCGTCCAATCCTGTCACTCCGTGTGTCCACGTAGCAGCAACACTCAAGTCTCACCACTAGAGGGAGACACGTCCCTTTCAAAACAGCCCTCCGATGGATTCAGTTTAGGTTTCCAAAATCAAAATCTTGTGACAGCGTGAGATAATTTCACATCGTGGCTTTTAGTGATTTTTGAGAGGCATTTCCACTTCTACTTTCTGTAAAAATAGAAAATCTTTCAATAATGATTCCAGTGCAGGTTCTTGATGTGTTTAACATTGTTTTTTTTCTGTGTGTATCCAGAGCTACCAGTTCCTCATCTCCTCCGATTATGAGAGGTCCGAGTGGAGGGAAAGCATCCAGAAACTCCAGAAGAAAGGTAACACTGGCCTTGAATTGTCCTAAAGGCCCTTTATGTTATTAGAACACACTGTCTGCATCTTGAAGCGGTTTAAAACCACTCTTTACTCACCGTACCTCAGAGAAGTGAAAGTGTAACCGTAGCCGTGTGGTCGCTGTGTGTCTGTCAGATCTCCAGGCGTGTGTATTAAGCTCTGTGGAGCTCCAGGTCCTGACCAGCTCCTGTTTCAAACTCCGAACTGTCCACAACATTCCTGTCACAAGCAACAAAGACGGTAAGAAACACTCGCACACAATATCTTCTTGTCCTCTTATGCTCTGTCGCTTTCTCCTTTTTAACCCGCAATCCCCCCCATCGCTCCGTCCTCTCCGCTCTGCTTTGGGTTTAAATTCACAGAAAAGGGCCTGTTATACTCTCGGCGCAACAAGCAGCCACATAATGAAGGGAGGGGGGCCTTGCAGGAGAGAATCTAGGTTACAATATGTTTCTCATCTAGCTCTGAGCAGTCAATGCCGGCGGTGGCCTGTGCCCTCAGCTCCTACATGTTTGTTTTTGCTCCAGATCTCCACATTGCACCACTTTCAGAGGCTGGTGGTGACATTAAAGCCATCTGGCCAACCTACTCTGATCTCCCAAAAGGGCATGAGGGTCTCTGCTTTCACACGCACGCACAACACACTCGTACAGCCACAGAGCTGACGGAGGGGCTTCAAGACGCTGAAGGGCACACTGTCTCAATCTTTCTCGCTTCGAACAGAAAAAGACACCCGTGTTTGCTTCTTATACAATAGTATCTCTGTGTAAGTAAGCCCGGGGTTTTATTTTAATTTAGCATTCCGGTGAATTTCGATGGAAACTGGTCAATTGCCAGCATAGCACTGTGATTGATTAATTACCTGCTTCCTTCTTTAATGAAAAATAAACTTCCAATGTAAAAACAAATCACTTCCGGGTAAGGACCTGACAGCCTGTGCTTTTATATCAATTTACAATGTATTGTAAGTATGTGTTTAAGATTATAAGTAACTAAAGGTCGACCAATAGTGGATTTGTAAAGGCGATGGTTTGGAGCAGGAAGAAGCCAATAGCCGATACTCAGCAGATACTTCTCAAGAGCTTATAGTGTTGCGATATATATTCAAGAGATCATTTTGAACATGGGTCAGATATGACGTGTCGGCTTGCTGTAAAATCAGCTGTTCCTGGAAACCGCAAAGGTTTAGGTTCAGAATAATGCATTCAAGGTTTTTTCATGAAATGGAGAATCACCTTCTGGAAATAAAAAATCTAGATTTGTCATTTAAAGTCTGTCTTGCATTTATGTCCGGAGCCAGCGCCCCCCCCCCCCCCCCCCCCCCCCCCCCCCCCCCCCCCCCCCC